TAAATTAAGATTCATATATTTACTTATAGTAAAAAAACTATTTAGCTTCAAGATGCTAGAATAAGTTCATGAAGAATGTCCCAATTTTGCCTCAAGCATATACTACAGAAAAATATGAAAAACAAAAGTTGCATTAAAAAGTAATAGACAAGGGGCTGGATAGATGGTTCAGTGGTTAAGAGCAGTGACTAGTCTTGCAGAGGACCCGAGTTCGATTCCCAGCACCCACAGGGCTGCTAACAACTGTAACTCCAGTTCCAGGAGGGATCCAATGCCCTCTTCTGACCTCCTCAGGAATTTCATAACAGAAGCGCACCTACACACATGCAGGCAATATACTCATGCACATAAAATAATAAAATAATAATAGATAATATACACCATGGAATGAAAGTACATTCCAGTTTCTATGAGACAACTCATTTTAGAATCTGGTAAATCACAAAGAGGCCCTTTTTGTTATCTAACACACAAAATGTTTTTCTCAGGTCTATGGAATCTAGTTTGTAGTTCAACATCAAGCATTTCTTTTTTAATATTTTTTAATAGTTAAAAATATTTTACTTATTATTTTTATTTTATGCGTATGAGTGTATTGCCGTCATAGCTGCCATGTGGGTGCTGGGAATTGAACCCAGGTTCTCTGCAAGAGCAGTCAGTGCTCTTAACCGCTGAGCCATCTCTCCAGCCCCAACATCAAGACCCAACTTCTAAGACTTGTTTTTACTCTCTTATAGAATATCAGCTTCCTGAATATTTCATACTGAGGCAGAACAAAAAGAATCAATAAAACTAATAGGAATGTCCTTAATTCCTGACAGCAAAACTTGCCAAGAACAAGATAACTGCAAAAAAAATTAAAAAGACAGAAGAACCAGAGACTCACATGTCAAATACATATTTATTTGGGAGCTATACAGATGCCACATAAAATGAAGGAGGAAGAAGGAGGAAACTACAAGAAAAAAAGCTTTCCAAATAATACAATCATATACTGAAGCTTTCCTTAGCATCGATTCAGTACACAGAAGACCTCATTCTCATATGTACATATTTAAGCACGTATTTTTTATTCAATATTTTATTTCCTTTATGTGTTGGTAGGATATTATATTCGGAGTTAGGAAAAAAAATCAAAGCCCACTGTAGTTAATAAAGAGTCTGGAAGTTAGAATGGAAAAAGTACAGGTTCTCTTTCTTTGTACTTGAATACATGTATTGAATAATATTTTTAAATAGGGAAAAATAAAGGAAGCCTTTCTCCCAAATGAGAAAAATTATTCATATGTTCAAAAGTGCATTTGTGTGACTGTGTGACATAAATAAAATTATCTTAGACTCAGATTCATCAATCAACTAACTGAGTCAGCCTCATTCAATTTCCATGTGTGCCCTTGGGCATTTTCTGGAGATTTGCCCATTCTTTATACTTTTTCTGTCATGGCTGGAAATGTCCACACTCCTAGACAGACTAACCCACAAGCTGTCCACTCACGTCCAGCAGTACACAAACATTCTTTCTTCTAAATGCACTTCCTTTTACCCCACTTCTCCCTCCAGCTGCTGCCCTTGCCTTTCCTTTTCTTGGAAAGTTAGGCACTAGGTGTGCTTCTATTCATGGTCTTAATTCTTTGAACCTCCTATTCTCCTTTACCCCTTACCATTTAACTAAAAATGCTCCATTAAGGCTCCAATAGTGTTTACATGGTTAAATCCGTCTTCAACTCTCATTTGGCTAGCTCCATTAGCAACATTCAACTCAGCTGGCTATTGTCCATTTCTTCAAATACTTTCTTCACTTGTCTTCAAGGAATCACATTCACATGGTTGCCTCTTACCTACTGACCACTCTCTTAGTTTTCATTGCCTATTCATCTTCCACTATAATTATCAGGAAGTCCTGTTGCCTCTAAACACACCCAGAATTTGATCATTGGTAGTCACCTTCCCTATCACTCTAGTCTAAATTACCCAATCACTGAACTAGCTTCATATCAGCCACATCTTCTTCTGTACTTATCATACTATAGTATGTTTTATACTATCATACTATAGAAGTTCTTATAGTATGTTCTATACTTATCATACTATAGTATGATATACTATAGCATATGATCTAGTATAGTATACTATAGTATGTTCTATACTTATCATACTATAGAAGTTCTTATAATAGCATTATCAGTTGCTACATGTGATATGGGCTGCAATATCTCTCTGACTTTCCGTCAGTTCTCCAGACCTTCACCTTTCTACTTCATCCATACTAGCTTTTGTGGAATGGCTTGACTACATCAGGGCTCCTGCATGTACATATGTTTTATCTGCCTGCTATGTTCTCCTCACAAATAAACTTTCTCCCTTCTTACTCAGGCCTTTGTTGGAACCCTAGATAAACCAAAACCCTCATCTTTACTGCCATGTGCCATTTCTATCCTTTCCAGCTCTGTTTCTCCCTTGAGCAATTATTATAAGTGATACTTTAAATTTTGTTTATTCATCTCCTTATCTGTTTCCAGGCCTAGAATTTGAACTCTATTATGTAGGTTGCCCTCTGGCTAGAAAGTTTCTATTACATAATTAGCACTCAAAAATACTTTCTAAAAAAATCCATTGCTAGGTGTGAAAAATCTCTCTTTCATCTGTTGGGTTAGGGGTATCCTGGAGATCCCCAAGACAACATAGGCTATTACTATTGGTCTTGATTGTCCATGAGAACTTGAAGATACCACACAATTTGGTCACAGGACATGGAGAAAGCAAGTGAGTACCCATCAGAAAGCTTCCTCCCTGCTGGCTAGCTTTCATAGTATCAGAAGGTGCTGGGGGAAATGTCATCAACTCCCTTACTCACCCTTGAACCCCATGGGAAAAAATAATGACCAGAGTCAAGAGAGGCCAATGGATGCAATAGTGGCAAGAATATTATGGGGGTAACTAATCACTTTCTGATTATATTTAAAGCCCAGCCCACAAAAGGAGACTTATTTCTGGTACTGTAAATCTGGCCAAGAACTAATGGCTACAGAGCCCATAGGCCCAAGGTGTTGAACCTACTATTATTTTGCTAAAGAGATAGAGTCTACACTGCCCCCTAAATTCATATCACTATCCCCACAGATTAGTACAGCTGTCAAACTTCATCAGAGAAGTTTCTTTGTGCAGTGGACAATAGTTAATGCAGAAAGTTAAAAGTGGAAAATATACAGAGAAGAAATGTCTGTGGTGTATTCGGCCACAAACAGGACATCTACATCATTCCCTCCCTGCAGAGCTCAGGGAAAAGAAGGGTAGACAAAAATGAAAAAAAAAAAAACATTCAAAAATGCAATATTCATTATGCCAGAGCAAAATTTATGAAGAAAAGCAGGACTGAGTCTTAGTGAGTCTCAGAAAAAGAGAAAATAGTTGTAGTAAATTTAATCTAGAATGCTAAGAAAAATATTAGAAGTAAATTAAATGATTTTAATGAAGCAAAACTTGTTAATTTTTAAATAAATGTATGGGAAAATTAAAAAAAAAGAAGGGTATCACAGAAAAGAGGGTAGAAAGATCAAGAGCAAGAAGTCAAGAAGAATCAAAGTCAAACAGTGTATTCTGGACATGACAAAAGCACTAACTCATGAACTCCCAGTAGCTGTGCTTGCCTGCACAAGACCGGCACAAGATCAGTCCACTCAATATGCTAGAATGGAGGTGGGGGGGGAATCATACATCCCCACCCTTAGCTGAGTAGTAGTGACAATTAATCCCTGGGGCAGGGAGAGTTTAAAGGTGTGACCCCTGGCAAGCTGACCAGGCATCAGTGGATGGCTAAATACCCATGAGTATATTTGGCAGCACAAGTCAGACTAGGTGGAATGTTGAAAACAAACAGAGGATGTGAAGCTGAGAGAGTGTGAGGAGATCTGGGGAGTTAGTGAAAGGAGTAGGGTGAATGAGATAAAACATAATGTATGCACATACGAAATCCTCAAAGAATTAATAAAAATACTGTATTTTAAAATATATCTTTTAAAGAATGAAACAAATATTTTTTTATACTGGGTTTAAGTAAAGACTTTCTTAGTATTACATGACTTCAGCAGTTCCCTGCTTTTCCTATCCCTAGGAAATCTATACAACTCGAGAAAATAATTTACGAAATTAAATTCCTCCTGGGAATTTGATCCGTAGGAATGAATAGGCCCTCAAAGTGAACTGCCATTTTCCCTTGTCTATGTCCCTTTCTATTCCATAGCAAAGCTTTTCCTGAAGAGGGAGAAAAGGCTCAATCTCAGGATAAACTAAAACATTCACCCTGCTCCACCTGTAGCCTCAGCTGCATAAGAACTCACAGATGGAATGCCACCAGTTTTGAGCTGGTAATCTTTAACATGCAGATGGATCTCTAGGGCTTATCTATCCTTCTTCAATAAGAAAGAATATATGCCTTTGTGTATAGATATGCTTGTTTGCCTTGCTATTGATAATAGTTACATTTTATAGTAAATATTAATTTTAACATATTCCTTAAGGCTAGGCTAAAAATTTTAGATAATTTTTAAAATTTTATTTTATGTGTATGCGTGTATTGCCTGCCTATACGTAAGTGCACCCGTGTTGTGCAATGTCCGGAGAGGACAGAAGAGGCTGTAACATATTCCTTAAGGGTAGGCTAAAAATTTTAGATAATTTTTAAAATTTTATTTTATGTGTATGCGTGTATTGCCTGCCTATACGTAAGTGCACCCGTGTTGTGCAATGTCCGGAGAGGACAGAAGAGGCTGTCAGATCCCCTGAAACTGGAGTTATAGACAGTTGTTAGCTGCCATGTGGGTGCCGGGAATTGAACCTGGGTCTTCTACAAAAATCTTAACCAAGGAGCCATCTCTCCAGCCCCGAGTTTAGATAATTTTTATCAAAAAAATTTTCATAATATTTTTCATTATAGTTTCTTTCTCTCATAGTAATAAGCCCAAATGTTATATTCAACAAACAAGTAACTATAACTTTCTCACCTGGAGCCAACACTGAGGCTTCACTTTCTTCATCAGTACTTTCATCATAGACTGCATCTTGGTCAGCAGTTATTTCAGAACACATTGCACTTTCCCTGGAAATGGAAAAAGGTAAAATGAGAAATCAATGGGTCACTCCTGGCTAGCTACCAAATTTACCAGATAATATTATACAGAGAATATTCCAGAAAAAAGGCCCTAAATTAGGCCGTGCAGGGTGGTGCACGCCTTTAATCTCAGTACTCAGGAGGCAGAGGCAAGTGGACCTCTGTGAGCTCAATGTCAGCCTGGTCTACATAGTGAGTTCCAGGCTAGCTGGGAAGAGACCCTGTCTCCAAAAAAAAGGTCCTAAATTAGACAAAAATGGTAAAATGTGTATAATTTAGATGAAATCACATAAAGACAAACTCTTTCAAAAAGAATTATTTTACCTAGCAAAATTAATGTTTCTTAATGTAATGCTGACTATGATTAACTCCTGAATCAATTTATCATATTCTGTTCTTCTGTCAAAACATTATTCTACCAAATAACCTTTGTGGGTCACCGAGTACTTAGTATTGTAAAAATCTCGTAGTAGTTCTACATTCCATTAGATTGCCCCAATACGAGGCACAGAGGAATTACTGGACTTGTTCAATGCCATGTGCAAGTAGTCCTCAGTGCCAGATCAGTATCTGAACTAGGACCAGTGACAGAGAATGTTACCTTCTGTATATTGGGTCATTCCTTTTGAGTATGATTCCTTTCAAATTCAGGGCGATAGACCCTAATCCATATCTGCTAGCACCTAAAAAAAAAACTTAAAAATTGTCCAAACCTAGATTAGCCATTTGAATTCATGACTCTTCCTTAGCAACCAAGTATACATCCACTTTTCAGAAGGAAAAAAACAAAAACAAAAACAAAAATAACTGCTGGCATGGTGGTACACACATTTAATCCCAGAACTCAAGAGGCAGAGGCAGGTGGATCTCTGTGAGCTTAAGGTTGGTCTGGTCTCCATTGTGAGTTCCAGGCCAGAATCTCAATTTTTCATCAAAAAGCATAAATGCCCCATGGAATATAACATTCACTGCCTGAATCTAAAGTTAACCATGAGACTGACATTAAGATAACAAACATGTGGTTGGAATGGTGGTGTATACTCCTTTAATCCCAGTATTTATGTGGGAGGCAGAGGCAGGCAGATCTCCATTATTTGGAGGCCAGTCTGGTCTACAGAGGCCAGCCCAGTGCTACACAGTGATAACCTGTCTCAAAAACCCAACCAAACACAAACAAAACAAAACAAAAAAGGATTACAAATGTGTAACCAACTCTGCAGTCCTAGAAGGGGGAAAATTATTTTAAGTGATATACTTCTTTATTGATAATGTCTAATAGTTAAATAAATAACATTAAACCTCATGCAAGTTTGCTATGTGAAGTGTATATGCTATATATGTGTATACTGTAAGACCATGGAAAATTAGCTAGCCCATGAAATTCTTGTGTAATCATGTGAATGTCTGAACCCAGACCACAGATAATCTTATATTGCTAAAAGTTGGCACCTGGCTTTCAATTAAGTTTGCAAAGAAATTCTACCTAAATTTATCTATTTGCTCTCCAGAATTAGAAAGGACATACCTTCCACATTCAGCATTCTTTTCCAGTTCTTGAACTTCACTTAGCAACTTATGTAAGCTTCTGATCTTTGCTTTTTTCTCATTCAATACCAAAATAAATCGTTTATAAAGATCAGTTTCCAAGGCTTCTTTGGAACTCACACATTTTTCAAATCTAAAAAGTTAAATAACCAAAAAAATCACAAATCATGTAGCTTTATAACATTAATATTATTCAATAAAATACTCAAAATTTCAACCAAATTTTGAAGCAAAATATAACTAAGTTCATTTTTACATACACTTTCATTGGCTTAAAAGTTTTAAAATGAGAGCTAGACACTGGTTATTACTATTAGTAATTTTATATACAAAGATAAAACTGAAAATGGATAGAAACAAGGCTTTAAAATATAAATGCTTAAATGTAATAATATATTCATAGGTAATAATTTTCACATATAATAATTTATTCATATAAGGTTCTTTACAAAAGAGTACTTTCATGGGCATTTCAAATAAGCATTGCAGCATGCTTCCTCAGTATATTAATATTACAGTAATAGCTGCAATGATCTTACTTTAGGTATGTCACAGCAATATCTGTTTGACAGTCTTCATAGACCATGGCCTATCCTACAAGAACATGACTTGTTAATTTAGATCCTTATAACCCAGCATAATACACAAAACACAAAACAGCACAATACGCAAAACATACACACACATATAATGAATTGAAGTATTGCACGTGATATTTCCAAGACAGTAAAGAAACCATCCCCTATTTGTTAATGGGGGATGGAGAGATGGCTCAGCAGTTAAGAACACTGGTTGTTCTTGCAGAAGACCCAGGTTCAAATCCCAGCACCCACATGTCAGCTAACAACTGTCAATAACTCCAGTCCCAGGGGGTCTGACAGCCTCTTCTGACCCCCATGGTCATTGTACAACATAGGTGCACTTACCTACCTGCAGGCACTTACCTACCTGCAGGCAATACATGCATACACATAAAATAAAATAATAAATAAAATTTTTAATAATAGCTGGGTGTGGTGGCACACGCCTTTAATCCCAGCACCAGGAGGCAGAGGCAGGCAGATCTCTGAGTTCAAGGGCAGCCTGATCTACATAGTGATTTCCAGGACAGCTGGGGCTATAGAGAGACCCTGTCTCAAAAAAGACCAAAAAATAAAAAAAAAATAAA